GCAAAGCTAAAAAATTTGTATTTGGTCATTTATTTGAGAGACAACAACCACTAAGAAACAAGGCAATGCTATCCTAGTGAGAAGAAATATTCCCCATAGATTTCTACCCATTCGTTCAAACATCTCCACAGTCGCAATAGAGATAACCACAACACTTAAGCTCGCTATCATATGCATTTACATTCCACCGACACAAAACATCTCGGCCACAGAACTAAACCGCATACTAAGGCAAATCGACAGCAATTGCATCACAGGAGGCGATTTAAACGCCTGGAGCTCAATTTGGGGCGCCGCCCAATGCAATCAAAGAGGCCTTGAGGTTGAGGACATGTTACTGTTATCCAACCTAATCTGCCTAAACGACGGCACAGCCATCCATCTATCAACACACAACACGTTCACCTGCATTGATCTCACCTTCTGTTCTGCGGTCTTGGCCCCGAAATGCTCATGGCGAGTATTAGATTTCCTGTACGGGAGTGATCATTTCCCGATCCTCACACAAGTTAACACCCAGGGCAATCAAAATTATTATAAACATTGCAGCAAATTCAAAACAGATACGGCAGATTGGAAGAAATTTTCTGGTCGTTACACCCAACTTTGCCGGAACTCGCCTGCAGCAAACAATCCCAACCAAGAAGGAGCAAAAATCCTAAAAATCGTCCGCACTGCAGCCCACTATGAAATTCCTCAAACCAAACCGATTAGGTACCAAAAAAGAATACCCTGGTGGAATGCCAATCTCTCTTATCTTAGATCGCAGAAGCAACAAGCATGGCATAACTTCAAACGCACTCGATCCGAACAAAATCTACTCACCTATAAAAGAGCGAATGCCATATTCAAAAGAGCCGAAAAATTAGCTAAAAAAGAATTTGAAAAATTCACATCGAACATCAATCCTACATCAAACCCAAAAACTATATGGAACGACATTAAGAAGCTCACCGGCGTCCAAAAGCAAACTAATTTTTCCAGTATTGCTTCTCTCAACGGACCAATAAACGCACCACTCGACATTGCCAACTTCTTCGTTTCCTCCCTCTCTCTTGCCCCCTTTGATGTCAACTTCCATACCACCTTCCTCTGCTTTCACGATACGCCAAGCAAATTGAATCCCAAATCTGCTTAGCTGAATTCGAATCGGCTCTCTACTCAGTCAAAGGAAAAACGCCTGGAGTCGATAAGATTTCATACCCCGGCTCGGTTAATGTGGTACGCTGGCATTACCAAATTAATCAGCCCCAATCAATTCGCCTACAGAAAAGGGCAAAGTACAACTGACGCGCTGCTCCATCTCGACCACCTCATATCAAATGCTCTCTCTTCTAAAAGCCACTTCTCTCTAATGTCGGCCGACTTTGAAAAAGCTTTTGACCTCACCGGCATCCACATCATTCATAGGCAACTAGATAAATGGAGAATCGGCCCAAAAAAAAAAAAAAAACTTCCTCACCAACAGGAAATTCGTAGTAAAAATTAACGGTTACCTTTCCCATACATATCCGCTAAACAATGGCACCCCTCAGGGCTCACCTTTGTCTGCCTGTTTATTCATCATAGCGTTCGATGAAAGCGTCCAACTAACAAAAAGCATGCGTGGCATAGAATGTATACTAGGGTGGTCCAAAAACAGTAAAGTCGGAATCGTAATGCTCTCACCCCCTAGGATTGTTCTATATCGAAAAAAAGTGTACCCCTATTTTTTTATTTTGAAATCAAAAAATATTTAGAGGTCGCTCAAAGCGCTCAAAGTTTTCCATGTGCTTTTATATGGGAAAAAAAACAACTTTTCGTAGAAATGGTATAGAATTCTTGAAAACCAATATTTTTCGATCGGAAAACTCTGGTTCTCTTCAGGAGACTTTCAGTAATAGGGCCCAATTGTTTATTTAACCATTTTTTTAATATTAACGATTTTTTATTGGTTCCCCCATTGAATTTTTCGAGGTTTTTGTTTGATTTTGGCGGACCTATAAATTAAAGTTGCGATGAAAAAATGGTTAAATAAAAATTTGAGTATTATTATTGGGAATCTGCTGCAGACAAATTGAGTTCTCCCATAGGAAAATATTGATTTTTAAGAAATCTATACCATTTCTACGAAAAGTGGTTTTTTCCCCATACAAAATACATGGAAAACTTTGGGCGCTTTGAGCGACCTCTAAATATTTTTTAATTTTGAAATAAAGAAATTGGGATATATTTTTTTCGGTATAGAACAATCATAGGGGGTGAGAGCATAAAAATTCCGACTTTACTTTTCCACGTGTATTTTTGGACCCCCCTAATTTATACTCTACGCCGAGGACGTCATTTTTTTCACAAAAAACGCCGACACCAACAACGTGGAATCGCTCTTCGAAAGCATATTATCGAAAATCACTTCTGGTCTCTGGCCGCCGGCACATGATTATCGCAGGGAAAAACCAAAGCCCTGCACATTTGCAGGAAACAGAATTGTCCGGGGGTATCCATAGCGTATTCCTACGGTAACATAAGTTCAGTAGAAGAACTCAAAATTCATGGACTCACCTTCGCCTCCAAGTACAGCTTCAAACCACATTGTGCTAAATTAAGAGATCGCCGGTTAAACAGCTTTAATATAATCAAATACCTCTCATCCAAGAAAAGCCTCATACACCCTACCACACTGATCAACATCAACAAAGCTTTAATCGTATCCAAAATAGATTATGCTTTACCGATCTACAGCAACTGTGCTAAAAATACACTAAATAGACTGTCGGCGCTTTATCACTCCGCAATACGCAGGAGCATCAGAGCTTTCCCCAACACGCTTTTAAAAAATTTGTTCGCCGAAACAG